CCGGGCTGGGGATTCGAACCCGCCACCTTAGGTGTACGTGGCTGGCGCCTTAGCCGGTTGAGCTATAGGCGCCGAGCCATCAGTGTGGGTATTTTTTATAGTTGATATTGAATAGTTTAAAAGATTCATATTCAATTCTACTCTCTCCTGGTCTTTGCTTTTTAAACATCTTGCCAAATAAAACACTTCCTTTTTTCAGACATTAAATACATACTAAAGCAGTCTGTGAATCTTTCTCCTGCCCTTTTCTCATTATGATCAGTCCACCTCTATCTTCTACGGTTTATTTATGCATTTACAAATAAATACACATAAATCATTTTCTAAACTTCTTTATATTTGTTTAACACAAAACAGCATATCATACATACTATTCTGCACTTCTTTTTCTTTTTTTGCATTTCCTTAACATCTTCCTTTGGAGATCTTTTTTGTTGTTGGTTGTTTGTTTAAGAGACAGAGTCCTGGCTTGGTGCCCATAGCTCAGTGGTCAGAGCGCTGGCCACCTACACTGAGGCTGGAGTTTAAACCCAGCCCAGGCCTCCTAAACAACAATGACAACTGCACAAAAAAAATAGCCAGGTGTTGTGGGCACCTATAGTCCCCGCTACTTGGGAGGCTGAAGTAAGGGAATTGCTTAAGCCCAAGAGTTTGAGGTTGCTGTGATGTCATGGCCCTCTACTGAAGGCAACATAGTGAGATTCTGTGCCTGTGGCTCAGTGGGTAGGGCGCTGGCCCCATATACCAAGGGTGGTGCATTCAAACCCGGCCCAAGCCAAACTGCAACAAAAAAATAGCCGGGTGTTGGGGCAGGTGCCTGTGGTTCCAGCTGCTCGGGAGGCTGAGGCAAGAGAGTCACCTGGGCCCAGGAATTGGAGGTTGCTGTGAGTTGTGTGACGCCAAGGCACTGTACTGAGGGTGACAAAGTGAGACTCTATCTCTACAAAAAAAAATAGTCTCCCTCTGTTGCCTTGGCTGGAGTGCACTGGTGAGATTATAGCTCACTATAGCTTCAAACTCTTGGGTTCAAGCTATCTACCTGCCTCAGTCTTCCAAGTAGCTGGGACTACAGGTGTATACTACCATTCTTCACTAATTTTTAAAATGTTTTTGTAGAGACAGAGTCTTGCTATGTTGCCCAAGCAGTCCTCCCACCTCAGCCTCCCAAAGTGCTAGGATTATAGGTGTGAGCCACCATGCTCAGCCAAGATCTTTTTGTATCAGTATTAATTACTCTTATATGTAGAAAATTTTCTGTCCTTACCTCTCCTTACTCTACCAAAACACACATGTTCCCCTAAATGCTGCTTAATACTTTGGCTTTATCTCAACATTTTTTCATACCTCTCTAACCTGATTTCTAAGACTTGAGATTCAGAGAGGCTATGAGCTATAGCGGCAATTCTATTAAGTGTAATAGAGCATATATTGAACTGGCTTTTGTTAGCTATCCTAGAAACCTAATCATTATCAATGGGATTCTGAATTCCAAATATATCTATAAATAAACTAAGTTTTATAATACTGTGGGGTTATAGCATGTACACTGAATTTAGACTCTGTCATATGAACTGTGATTCCATTTGTATAATGTATTTTACAAGTAGTATACAGTGTTTGCCATTCAAGTTACTAAATAATTCATTGTTGAAAGTGATGCCTATCAACCATTTAGGGTTTAGACTCTTTCATTGGGCCTATGTTTAGTATTCTAAAGTTTATAATGCCTTATGACACTCTCTGAGAGGCTATTATAGTTTTTCAGCTTTTATGTATTCTTTTCTAACCCATAGTTTATTAATGTGGTTTAAATATTGATTCTTATCTAGGTTCTCCAGAGCTGGTTTTTGTAAGCCATGTAATACATCCTTGCCACTTTTACATTCGGAAGTATTCACAAATAAAAGATGCAACATTATTGGAAAAGAAGGTGAATGAATTTTGCAATAAGAGTTTACACCTGGATCCTTCAGACGTTTTGGAGCTAGGTAATGAAACTGCAAGTTAAAATGAAGTTTATTGAAATATTATAATACTTGGCCAACCCACAAAAACTTGTTATAATACAGATTTCTGGTCCAAGTTAATAACAAGCATGAGAGTTTGAGAATTATGTAACATAAGTTAGTTTACTTAGGCATGTTAGTTAAGGATTTGTTGGTGCAACTTGATGCAAAATAATACCTACTCTGTCAATATGCGATGAACTGAGGGTCCCCTGGGAGGACCACATGAACCAGCACTCCCCACAGACAGACAAGGGTGAGACCCCTCCCAGCCTTCCATACAAACTTTTATTATGATCTCACACTTGGGAAACAGCTCAGCAGCAAGCTTCAAAGAGAGAAAGTCAAGGTTAAAAAGGTTTTTTTTGATTGTGTGATTTTACTCTTAACACATTCTGTTTGCTGTGTTTCTGTCTTGTCTTTTTCTTATCATTGCATTTTTTAATTTAGCCAGGTCATGGTAGTGCATACCTGTAAGTCCCAGCCATTCAGGAGGCTGAGTAGGGAGGATCACCTGAACCCTAAAGTTCAAGGCTTCAGTGAGCTATGATTGTGCCACTGCACTCTATCCTTCATGACAAAGCAAGACCCTGTCTTTAAAAAAATATAAAAATAAATTATAAAACCCATGATATAGTTATATAGCCTACCCTCTTGTCTGCTGGGAAAACTATGTAAGATGATTCTTACTATGTAACTGCAGTCTTGTACTCTGTATGTGTGGATGTTGGGGCTAGCATTTAAGATGCAGGAGGCCTGTGGCACCCACTTCTCATGCCCCAAGGAGGGTAGTTGTAAATGTGATCAGTCTATTTTAATTCTGAGCATAATGTGAATTTGCCATGCTTTAGGGTTTTGTTACAGCTATTTTTTTTTTCTAACACTTTGATTAAAGACTGAATTTGATTTTACTCTACAATATGATGAAACTATGATTTGATTTTTTTTTTTTTTTGAGACAGAGCCTCAAGCTGTCCCCCTGGGTAGAGTGCTGTGGC